GATCCGGACTTCGGCACGCTCTATGCACAGCTATCTTCGGATCACCCGCCGGCCAGCCATTACTGCATTGCCGACGGGTACTTGCTCCTCCACTCGAGAGGCTAGGACTTACTATGTGTCCCACGCGACCGTCGTCTTCGGACTCGCCTCCTCGGCGAGTATCATGATTCACAACTCACCGGCCATTTCGGAGTCAACCGCACTATTGCACGGCTTCGACAGCGATTCCCATGGCCCGACCTCATTACTGATGTCACTCGGTATTGCAACTCTTGCGAAGTTTGCCGACGCAGCAAGCCCCGCAACCGCAATTCCTACGGCGAGTTATACCCGATGCCTATCCCACGGGAACCCGGTCTCTCCATTCCCATGGACGTCACCGGTCTGTTTCCTCGTGACCGGCTCGGGCACGACGGCATCCTCACGGTTGTGGACCGATTGAGTAAGTACGCGCGTTTTCTCCCTTGCAAGTACTACTCCACGACTCCCGAACTGGCACGCCTCCTGCACACTTTCTCCCTTGCAAGTACTACTCCACGGCTCCCGAACTGGCACACCTCCTGCACACTGGTTGGATTTGTGGCCACGGTGTACCAGAAGATATTGTTAGCGACCGCGAATCTCGTTTCATGTCGGCGTTTTGGACTGCTCTCATGCAGGAGTCCGGCACAACAATGAAACCAAGTTCAGCTCGACATCCTCAGACAGACGGGCAGACGGAGCGGGCACATCAAACCGCTCAAATGATGCTTCGTACGCTCATTCGTCCGGACCAGAAAGATTGGGTTGACCGCCTCCTCGATATCGAGTTCGCCTACAACAGTTCAGTGCACCCGGCGATCGGCGTGACTCCATTCGAGTTGCACCACGGTGGACGGAAAAATCGCATCTTCGCTGACCTTCTCCTCCCTCGACCAGCCGACATTGACGCCGCTTGCTCCCCCGCTTCCGTTCGGAAGTACAGGGACTTGCTGACTCAAGCCCCCGCACAAATATGCAAAAGGCTCAAGTTCGCATGCAGCAGCAAGCCAACAGGCGTCACGTACCATGTCCCATCCGCGCCGGTGATCTGGTTTGGGTCTCCGCGGAAGAGTTTGCCCTGGAACAGGACGTTTCACGCAAACTGCTTCCCAAGTGGTTTGGACCTTGGTCTGTGACAGCAGCCGCGGGCGATGAGCCCGATGGCCCTTCATTTGTGATCAATATTCCAAAGCATCTTATGGTCCATCCGGTCTTCCACGCCTCGAAGCTGGCAACATACACGCCAGCCAAGAGCAACGACTTTCCGGGCCGACGATCGCAGGACCCTCCTTCTATGGATGGCCATCAGGAAGTTGACCGCGTCATCACCGATCGCAAGTACAGCAGCAAGCCGCGGCAGTACAAAGTCACATTCAAAGCATGCGATCGCGTCGACACACGGTGGATTTCAGGAGCAGATTTGAAAGCATCCGCACCGCTGATCTACGCTCACTATGAACGTCAAAGGTTAGCCAAGGGACCTCCACGACCTGCCCCTCCCACCCGGACTGTGGTCCCTCCCTCAGACAGACAGCTTCGCCCTCGCAGGTAAGCTCGGTCTTTCAAGGAGGGGGGGGTGTGGCATACTGCGTAGCCACACGGGCC